TAAATCATATTAACATATACTGCTGTCAGTTTTAGCCATGTTACTCAGATAACGAAACCAGTGTCTATTTCCAGTAATAAATACAATCCAGTCACCCTGTGGTACTTAATCGCACGAATCCACCAATAATGAAAATACCCAATTACGGTACTGGGAGTTCGTGGGGAAACTTTATTAAAATGGGTATATATTCGCATTAAATAATCTAAAAACAGATCAAAACTGTGAATGATATAAATATTAACAACTTTAAACTGAAATATAAATTTTAGAAATTTAAAAAGTAATGGTCAATTTTGAAGTCAAAAACACTTTTGAAAGTATGCAACGTATCGATATTACTATATACTATTCCAATAGTTACAAACCTAGTATATCTGTTTTAAAATAAAAAATATACATATCAGCTAAGCCCATTTTAGTAGAAAACAATTCCCTGTTTGATATGTGTCTTTTTTCAACAACTGTTTTTAAATGTATAACTATCAATTAACAAGCGTTTTAAGACAATTCTTTATTGTCAATATTTGAGAATTTAACGCTCGTCTTGTACAGTGTTTGTTATCATATGAATATTTTGTAATTTTACACTAGGTTTATAACATTATAAAACTGATTTCATAATTATTCATAAGCGTAATTGTTCTATCCATTCGTATAATATTTCACTACTTGTATTCTATTCATTTGCAATTGATCTCTGAAACGAATTATCCGAAAAAAAAGTATGAATATAATAGTACAGAAACTTTCTATACACATCCTGTTTTAATAAAACACTATATAAATATATAAACATATATTTGATATAAGTTAATTGATATAAGTTTGCTATATACTAATATTTTTCTGGTTGTTAGCTTTTCATAGAGACTAAAACATCTAAGATTACCAAATATGTGGAATCAGAGCCCCTGGTGACGGTAATTGCACCGAGTGTTTGGATGGATATTCCAAATTTCATCAAATCCCACCATTTTTTTTCTAAACCGGGAAGAAGGGATGAAGCGCCCTGATACTCTCGGCTGGTGCCCTCTTACCGAATTGACGATTGAACTTTCAAGTCATAAATATATTTCTTGAGCCGCGCACTTTCGTGCTGCCGTACAACATGAAATCTTTCTCAAATATATTTTTCTCCTGAAAACTTCCGAGCAACACCAGCTGACTATGTGTCTGCACACCAAATACTCTAAAACAATATCTCAAGGGCGATAAATACACAGCTGAACGGTGCAGAAACCTTCTGGTATGGCGTTTGCAGGTCGATCCGCCTGTGTGTGCTCCCTCTTGTTTATTTTTTTTTTCTAGAAAACCCCCTGCCCACACTCGAGTGTGAATAAGACAATTATATTCGCAATAACAGTAACATTCGGTGGTACCTCGAGTGACGTCGTCATCTGATCTCCTTCAAATACGGTCCTGAATACGCGGTTTAGAATACGATAGTATGTTCATAAACAGGTTTGATTCTAATTCCAAAGTTTCAGTACAAACTTGTGTTGAGACTTTTCTGCAAAATGTCTGCTCTTGACTTTCAACAATGAAACCAAATCTTTGTATATTTCACTGACTCGGTCATAGTTCAGTTTCTTATTGTCCGCTGTTGACCAACCCTGGGAAAACAAAATGAAGATTAAAATAGTGTAACTAGGCATGAATAGAACAAAGTCTGACGTTTTCATGGCAATTATTTAAAAAAGGAGACTTTACTTAGAAAAGAGAAGGCATTGTGGTTTTGCTGTTTAGACAATTCATTCAAAAGTTTACACACTTTGAATATGATTATTACTGATTTTCACAAATTTGTGATCTTTATCTAAGCATTGCTCAGTTATCGTCTGATGGCTGGTCTCTTTGTGACATCGATCAGCCAATGATAATAGGCACTGAGCGGTGTTGTTATGGTAGTACGGGACATCCTCATATTCACTCATACTTTGGTGAGTTATCATGACATGTATCATTGATATGTGTATGACGTCACGTATTCGACTGCAACGCATTACGAAGAACATATATTATTATACATCTGTCACCGTATCGACGTAAGTTACAACGTGCCGTAATTTTGCGGTATTTTCATCCCACCATATTAGCAAATGCAAATTCCAAATATGGAATGATTACGCGCGTAAGCATCCTCTAATAATAAACACAAACATGGCTGCCACCAGGGTTTGACCTGACACCACGCAAAGAAGCTCGTTGATTCTGTTCTAAACATTTCGGATTTTGGTATTCCCATGATGTATCTTTGGAAGGAAAAGATGTATAATAATAATAAGGTTAATACGCCGATATCTCAAAGTATGCACTCAGACACTACACTGCCGCATCGACCTACGCTGCGCGTCGGTCCGCTGTACTGTCTTCGTGCATACTTTGAGGTATCCTCGTAATCACCTCATATTGTGTAAAACTGATACATATAAGAATGTCATATTTTTTGGTCAGCGGCCATAATTTGGTTCGTGCACATACTAATTTGATTCATACTGGCGCATTTACGTTATAAACAAAAGTTTAACTCCCTTGTCTCACCTTGTTAATAAACACACCGGAAGTTGCAACAGTAATTGACAGAACATCGCCATCGTGAGGTTGAATTCTCAAGTAACAAATTTCCCCATGAACTTGTCTCGTTGGGGGCGCTCTGCAGCCATTTGAGAAAACACGATCCGAGGTGTAATTGATTGATTTCAAGGCACAGTCTTTTTGCTCGCCTGTCATTGACCTTAGAACTGTCACGTGGCGATCGACATCAACCGGCTGCAGGCGCACTTCACTGAAATAAAATAATACAAAGGTTACAAGTCGGTTGGTGAAATATATTTATGTTTGCATTGCGTGGGGGGAGTAGAGGTTGTTTGTAACCACCGACATAGGGCGCCATTCTTACGATCGGGTCAGCTGGCTAAAGGCAGTCTTGTTGAAAGGTCCTCCATAGAATACGTGCCGGAACCGAATATCCCTCGAGAAACAAAACAAGTTTTTGCGAAACTGTTTCTGTGATTCAATATTTGTCGTTAGCTTAAATAAAATAAAAGAGAAAGTAGCAACGCAAAACTCGTATATTGTTGCTTGGCATTCCATATTTGTAAAATTAGCGCCCTCTGGTGACACAACGCTGTCGTGACGTGATGGAAAAAATTAACGAAAATTATGATGTGGAACAATTTAAATGATAATGCTCTCACTCAAGAACCCACCCCTCTTATTTCTTCTGACGACATTGAGTTGTTGTTTTTTGTTGTAGTGACCGTCACTAGAGGGCGCAATAATTGGAGAAGTAGGATAAAACGTTCTGTTCGATATGGGTCTCATAGCGACGTATACAACGCGTGTAAAATACATTGTTTGCTTACATGAAATTTGAACACGCGCTGCACGACGACCACCGCGTTTTAAAGGTTGGCTTGGATTAACAAAATTACTCTCTGTAAGAGAAAACATACATTTTCCCCGTTCTATCGTATGTGGCGCAATTCACTAGTACGTCAATTTACAAAAGTTACAAAGAATGAAATATTGTTTTAATTTGTTGAATCCACATGTATGCAATAAAAGCCTAAACAAACAAACAAACCGGGTGAACGGAACTGACGTCATCATGGCGAATATATTGTAATATTACACCGGTGATTCACTTGAAGAAACATTTCATTTTACTGATATTAAATTATAATTGTTTTTGTTTGCAAATAAGTGAATGTTTACTTACTTTGCTATAGCCTGGGTTATTTGTTTTATCATTAGTGTGTCTAGTCGCTGAATGTCGTGGATTAGTTTAAATATAGTCTGCTTTTCACTTTTAGCGTCACTTTCCGGTTCTTTAAGAATCTCCATCTGAAGTCGTTCTATCGCAGTGACGTCACGAACAAAAATATGCCACACTCCCAAGATTTTGGCAAACAGATCTGGATTAGCTGCTCATGGAAACAGATATTGTGGTTTGTTTTACGAGACAGTATTATATATTTCTGCTGGAGCTTGAATTAGAATACAATCCGCTGCACGGAAAATATCACAGAAAATCAAATCTGCATGGATCCATAAGCGAACTCACTAGTTTACTGTTTACAATAGAAATAATCCTAGAATGTATATTTAGTCCAGCCACCTCTGTAAAAATAATACCCTGGAACATGGCTAACCCAGGGCACCCTTGCAGAAATAATACCCTAGGACATGTCTTCCAGAAATAATACCCTAGCACATGTCTAACTCGGGCACTCTTCCAGAAACAACACCCTAGCACATGTCTAACTCGAGCACTCTTCCAGAAATAACACCCTAGCACATGTCTAACTCGGGCACTCTTCCAGAAATAACACCCTAGCACATGTCTAACTCGGGCACTCTTCCAGAAATAACACCCTATGACATGTCTTCCAGAAATAACACCCTAGCACATGTCTAACTCGGGCACTCTTCCAGAAATAACACCCTAGCACATGTCTAACTCGGGCACTCTTCCAGAAATAACACCCTAGCACATGTCTAACTCGGGCACTCTTCCAGAAATTACACCCTAGCACATGTCTAACTCGGGCACTCTTCCAGAAATAACACCCTAGCACATGTCTAACCTGGGCACTCCTGCAGAAATAATACCCTGTGACATGTCCAACTAGGGTATCTTTGCAAAAATAATACCCTTCGACATGCCAAAAATAATACCATGGGACATGACTAACCTATACAGCTCCGTAGAAATAATCTCCATGACCATAAATAGCCATTCGGGTGATAATTTAAATAAATGTGACACACCTTCGAGAATATGTCTTGCTTCCTCGTATTTCCTTGCACTTGCTATTTTGAGTACGGTGCTAATTTGATCTAAATTTAAAACTGTCATCTTATGCCCTTCCATCAGCAATAGTGGGTCGCCCTCGCCGGTGGTGGCTGTCGATGTCACACCATTTGATCTGTGAACAAAATAAGCATTTGGTTTTTTTATTCCAGCGTACAATCTTTCTAACATTTTCTGTTTAACACATGATGATTAAGATTGATCTATAGCGGGCGCCATGCTGTGGATCATAATGTCCCGTTATTTTCATAATACAAGACATTGGCGTGGTGTCTCCGGGTTCATGTAATTTTTTCTCGCTTATTGACTGTGCGTGTTATACGTTACTATGTATGTTGTCATGGATTGTGTCGTAGTATTTAGTCTTTACATGATATTAGTGTTGATTTGATTTGATTTGATGATATACTTTCGACTTTACATATCATCTCACAATAGGGCATCGCACTGTGACGTCACATGTTTAATAGAACATTTTTGCTAACCAGCATGCGATCAACACAGGCTCGCGTTCTGCTGCGATAACATTACCCATAAGCTGTTTTATTAACAGGAATACATAATTATATTTTTTAAGAACAGTGAAAAACAGCAGCAAACAACGACGTTATTTTATCTTTGAGTGCAAAGGGTCAGTTCTTGCCAACCAGTCACTGTGTACCCATACAGATCGTAAACAATTGCGGCGGCCTGTATTACGGGATATATCACAATAACAAATGGTGGTAGAAAGTAAATATTATTATGATCGTGAGCATTTTCCTTAGAGTACGTCTTACAGTACATACCGCTTCGTAGCTGATATATGATTGATTTTAAATACCACGAAATCCCGCGTGAATTCACTTGTCTTATTCATATGCACGAGACTGTGCTCGTGCACGTCATCACTGAACGAGCCTAAAAGTTGGTGACATTATCGGACGGACTTTCACGAGAAACGGAAACTCACATGTTCTGTATTGTTTATTCCATTTTCTTAATAATAATAATAACTACAATGTAAAGTATAATGATGGTGATCCCAATGTCTAATATCATATATGACTTACGTTTGCTCGTAATCTCTACATCCCAAATAGTCCGATGCATTCAAACTTGTGTCCCATTGAACTGGCATGTCAAAGGTCAAAGTTGCACCCTGGGAGTGTTTCACGGGAAGGTCTTCCATAAATCTGATGATCTTGTTCAGTATAATTTCATTGGTTGGTGTGAAACCAAGTCTACGAATACCTCTACCATTGGGAGAAGTCCAGTCCGCATAACATGCCAGTGTTTGCCCCATGATCTCTTGGGTATTAACAAGGTATGTAGTCTTCTCTATTTTCTGTAAAATTAGATTATATCTTATATTTTTCAATTCATGTGATCACGTCTGGAACTATTGTTTATATTAATATTTCCAAGGTTCTGGTTATCCAGGTTGTTGTGATAATAAGTTGATACCCAATAACAAGGTTCACCTTGCTAAAAAAGGGACTATTACCAGATTGCCGAAAGTACTCACTGGGTTAATGTTTGAATGGAAATCAGTGGCATGTGGCCAAACAACTAAATACGTCCATCGGAAATGAATCGTTCCTATGACCCACACCCTCTAGCGACAAGGCTTTCTGTGACGTATATTGGTGTAAGGGGGCCATGTACAGCGTCAATGTGTGATCACGTGTTAATAACAAAATACTTGTTATATTATAAATGATAAACAACTACACTAACAAGGTTGTATGTCAGAAATGACATTGCTTGCATCCGTCTACGTTTTTTGACGTTACGCAAACGCTTTATTAGTTGAAATCTCATTCTTTCTAAAGGTCATCGTGCCGCAGTGGTGCCAACACATCGCGTGGGATTCGATAAACAAAGTATTTTTAATAGAATTTCCACGATAATAATGCGCTATACACATTTACCTGTAATGTTAGTCAATTTAATGAACTATCTCGACGCAAAATTCACTCTAACGATTGGCATTTCGATATTGAATAATAATAATAAACAAAATTGAATTCAAATCATTCTATTTTTGCGGCAAACATACGGTCCTCGCCGTTCACACATGACATGAAATCTCGCATCGAACGGAGCATAGTGTAATCCCGAAATGTTTAATTTTAGCATTAGTTTGTAGTGGTTGGAATTATAAATGGATCTTAAAAATAAGTCTTATCCCATCCACGCACGTACGTACGTACAAAGACATGTATACACTATACTTGGGGTTGACTTTTCTAGATATACTCAGCTAAAAGAAAAAACGCCATGTTCATATCAAAACTAAGATATTGCATTACGTTGAATTCGATGCCAGAATAATACGTAAATATATATAAATAGAACATGCCATCGCAATCACATCAGTGTACCCAGAAATCGTGTGAGCATTGCTTACATTCTGGCGTACAATATACATCACTTTGTTTGATTGTGCATCAACGAGTACAAATAAATGTTCACAATACTTACTATGATCTCTTCAAATGGCCAAAGTGGTTAAACAACTCTCATTATTCGCAGCTGATTTTTTTCACCGTGTGCGATTTTAAAATCCCATGTATTTCCACAGGAACAAACCATGAAATCGGTGGAGGTGTTGGGTACTTAATTATAGTATGGGTTTAATTTACTGTAACAAAATATATTTAGTAATATTTGTTGTATTTAATCGTCATAATACGTGAAAGAACACGCGTGTTAAGGTCAATTACCACCAATGTGCAACGTGTATATACGTGTTCAACGTCCCATCACACCCACCCACCAACCCACCCTACTTAAAGTGGTATGGTCTCATCCACCCATGGTGCAAATTTTCCAAATCTATTTTTGCATGTATTATTTACTGGTACATGTTGCAAATTTCCAGTAAATCTATGAGACACTCTGCATCTACCAGCTTTGAAACGGAAGTAGAATCGATGTATTGTGGGTAATCAGCTTGCTTGCACATACAGTCCGAGCGAAGTACAGCTTAACATTGAGCGTACCATGCACCACGGAGCTAAAAATATACGCACCGTCGCGTTTATTGGTGGCGCACTTTTTGTGAATGTGAACCAGCATTCATGATGAGATTGATTGATGAGACTTCCATAGTCACAAATGTTAAAATATAAAAATGGTTTTAAAGATAAAATATAGTTCTAATTTGCTGAAACCGCATGTGTGACATCTAGTTCCCGCCAATTTTTTTGTTTCTAATGTGCTAAGAAATATTTCCATATTATAAAGAGTACTTGTTTGAGTTGCCATAAGATGACGTCATATATCAACTTGATACAGTTAATGGCCATGACCATTATAATAATATGGTCGCGCCGGAGAGCGACGAAGCGTTCCTGGGTGTAGGCCGTTCATAGACCACTTTCCCAAAGTCGAAGATACTGTGTATCGCATACCGCGCATACAGTTTTGGGGTGTAAAGCTGGACAAAAAAGAAAACTCTGCTTTATATATAGAACGAGCACGGGAGTAAGCGCTGGCGTCAGGTAACCAAGGTTAATAGAACGTGACGCCGCTAGAGGGCGTCACCCTGACTCCAGCTGGCTGCACAGATGTGCTGTTGGAAGTATTGTATTGGTGCTGAAATTTTGATGAACGTACCACACGGACTATAACACTTCCCAATAAGTCGCACCCTTACAGTAAAAATAAAGTGTTAGTTGTCGTTTGAACGACATTGGTTCAAATCTATGCGTAATTGTGACGTCACAGAAACACTAAAGGACACGATCTAAAGGGGTGATATATCTGCACACATATTCGTTGCACAGCTAAAGATGTAAGACCCATATATCGCAGTACTACTATCATATGTGAAGTCAAAAGAAATCCCATGCAACATTGCGAACTGTCTCTCGACTGACCAATGCTGGACCAAGACATGTATAGGAAATTGCATCCACAACGTGATTAACAGCATTTTGTCTGTCTGGGTTGTTTACAGTGGAACGAACCACGTTGTTTTCATTGTTTAATGGCGTGCCAAAGTTGTCGGTCCATGAGGTCACGGCAATATGAATTATGTATGTTTTACTAGTAATTCCTATACGATTCACTGATTTTACTTCAGGCCATAACATTACGCATACGGGTAAACATTCCAATTCACAAAGAAGTCAAAGCGAATTGCGTAAAAAATGTTGATATCATTCAAATTCATTCTGCATTACGGGTGTCCAACAACACTGCATTCCGACAGAAATTTTGAATCTCGCAACATTAAAGAACTTTGTCAGTGCCTGCCATCGTGCTCTGTTTAAAATGATAAGCTCACTCGAAACTCATCGGGAAAGTGATTGGAATGCTAATTTACCTATTTTGGATTATGTATATAACTATACATAACATGATTTGACAGGATGTTCATGGTATTGTTTAATGTTTTGTTGCAAAGCACATTCAACTATTCTGAAGACTGGTATCTTGTCGAGACGAAAACGAATGAAATATACCCAATAACTCACTCACGTAAAATCAAGATTGCAGACTGATGGGAAGAACACACTTACTATGTTAAACAGTGAGTTCATATTTATCATTCTAAATTATTAAATTATTTATTTATTTTTATTATTGATAGAGCAAAATTCGTGACTTAAAATTTGTTTGGATAAGAGTCGATGTGAGCAGGTGAATGCAATCTGATTAAAATCCGATGTAGGTATCAGATTTATTTTTTTCCTTTTACTTTTTCTATTTCTTATTGTTATTTTTGTTTATTTATGATTATTTGTTGGTTTTCCTCGCCGTTATTAAGTTTATTTATACTATCGTATACTCAGTATTGGAAGCTGCAAGAAAATTGTCATCGAGACAATATACCGGAATTGAATGTCTGAAGGAATGAATGAATGATTGAATCTACAATTGAGCCAAAGTTCAAGCTTTACTCCGATAGATCCAAACAATCCTGTGTTTGCGTTGGAAATACCTAAGAACAAATAACGTGTGTTACCTGACGCTTTTTAATACTCTACAGTTAGTGATTTATCGTGTTGCTAATACCTGTCAGTCCGTCCAGCTGCAGCTTGAATGGTATCCTCAATCGATGGACTTTTTTCCCCCGATAGGCTTGGTTTCAACTGTGATATCAGATCTACATGGGAATTAACCTCCACAAGATGGGAAATATCAGAAATTTAACCCTTGGCGACTAGTACCAAGAACTTGGCCATGGGGCTCTGTACGGAAGACTGGTTACCCTTTGTGTTTTGAAACTATTAGAAACTCGTCATTAATCATTATACATTATTCCCTCTTCAAACTCATTGTGCGTTTGGAGACTACCGGCGCTGTGGAAGTATATAAAGTAATTTTACTCAGCATGACAGTGAATTAAAACCACTGAGACTGTTACACTACCATTATAGGGTTCCGTGTATAGGTTTGGGCAAAAAAGATCTATTAGATCGGAGTCTTATTACTACTTCACCTTATTTGAGGAAACGCCACATTATGTTACTATCGCAGGGAATTGCGAGATACATACATAGAGGACGAAATTAATTTTAATTAATAACAAACAACAAACACATATAAATATAAATGACAAATAAATTGTAACTATCACTGTAACGCAGATCGCGAGATTTATCATGGGAAAGCCAACATCTCACGAAACCCTCATTGAAGTAAATTATGAACTAAAATTTGTCCACATGTTGGCAATATTATCGTAACCTGGGCATCCTCCCATTTTAGAAGAAAACGGGGTTTGTTATAATTACTAGAACGAACCTTAGACCAAAATGACTTGCGTCACAACGTACCATAGCGGTAGTTAAACCATCCAAGCGAGCCCGGACACATACACGCGTCGTGTCAGTTAGAACCTCAGACTAATAATACATTATTAGTAATAATACATTATTAGTAATAATACATTATTAGTCTGAGCTAGAACATAGCACTAGTTTGGCTCATGGTTGCGTACATTAGATTAGTTTTAATTTGACCGTTTGTGATTGAAGTGTGTAAACTATGTTGAAGACCATGTTCGAGATACAGGCAACAAGCAATGTTGTCAAAACTATTTCAAATGAACTAGTTTATTTGAAACAATGTATAGTCCGGTAAAAGTTGAACGATGTATCTCCCTTCACCCGAAAACAAGACCGATCTTCACATTATGTTACTGTTACAGGCACTAGGAGATGCATGTATGGAGAAATGTACCCGTTTTCCCCGCAACGACTAGCCTCCATAATTCCCGTACTTTAGCACACATTCACCCTTTGTCTTCTTGTTAGAATGTATCCCCACTAGATTGCATTTATCTTATAACACGTACTCGATACAATTGACGGGAAACGTCATATGACAAATCTCGTATTCTTAATAAATTATTTAACAAGGTTCTTAGGATAATACAAACATAACTTCCCGTGCTCAAAAATGTTTTTAAAACAGTGTCACCTGTTTTAGCGTACGAACGACATTTTGGTAATTTACAAATAAGTCCCCCCACACACACACACACACTCCCGAGAACTGTGACATTTTGACAAGTACATTAACCAAAGAAAAGAAGGACACTGAGTAGCCTCAAAAATTAACCGCATTTTAAGTGTTATGAACGGTGTATAACTTTAAAAACTCACACAAACTGACAAAGTTCATTGCGCACATATACAAACCACATACACGGTCTAACTTGAAGGGTAGTGGGCGTCGCGTCACGCATGGGTCAGATATGGGTCCCACACGAATAAAGATGGCATCGTGGAGTGTTACGCACATCAACGAATACAGAAAGTTACCAACGTTTAACTAGGTAATTCTTTTGATGAGTGAAACGCATCGACGAATATTTCAAAGAGTCAAAATCACTATTACGTGCACATAGCACCCAAATCAAAGTATGCGTTAGTGTTTACCATCGGAGGATACAATAAATTATGGGAAAATCAATGTTTATCAACACAGGTTTCGCACGTGCAAGGCTCGACTAACACCACCCTTTTATTTCTACATTGTACCCAGTTGAAAATGTCAGCCAACCGTGGTTCCACAATAGAATGTTACAACATCCAATGGAAAAGTAAAACCATATGAATCCAACAAGTGGTCATCTTTTCTGTTAGTTTGCTTTGCTGTAGCTTTGTTAGACTCTGTTTTTTGCCTCCATGGTTAGATTTCACTGTCATATTTGGCCCCGTTTCATATATGTGTCGTTTGTTTAATTAATATTAGAATAAATATAAATAAAGGTACTCATGACGGTAATATTATGTTACAGAAGATTCGACTGAACTTAGTATGACCGCCAACCTTGCAGTGTTATTAAGTTTTGAATTGTTGTTTTAGAAAAATGGTTCAGTGCTCACCATCCAGCGTGACCTGTCTGGCTTAAGTATTTATTTTACCTTTATTTGCTGGATTTACAACTTGTCTCGTAAATGTTTGCAACCTTACGACATAGGTTGATCTTTTGATTTCAGACCCCTTTGACCCAAATTATGTCGGAATCTACCAGGGATAGATCAGGTTTGAATGCACCTTAATCTTCCCAACTTTGGT